TGGCTTGTTATTGGGTGAGGCCGGTTCCAACCAATCCACTCGGCCGCCCAGTCGTCCACCCGACACCAAGCGGCAATACTGACACACCCACTTCTCAAGCCACCGTGCGCCCTGTTCAATTGACACCTCCCCCAACGTCCTACTGTGTGCCTTTACCCCTCCCCTCTTTTTTTTTTTTTTTCCCTGACTGTCTGAAATATGTTTTTCTTTCCTCCGCCCCAGTGAAACATCTCCACAAACGGCCAGCGGGGCGAGTGTTGGTGCGTCAATCCATTAACCGGGGTGGAAATAAAGTTAGGGGGGGGGAGACCCCAACTGTCAGCAGTTTCACCAAGAGTTCCAAGCCACACGCCTCCGCTAAGCCTCTTTTCCACTGCACGGTACCTACTCAAGTCCACACGGCTCTACTGGGTACTGATTGCTCTTCACCGGCAAAAAGACAGTGCGGTGCCACCCCCGATTTTTGGCAAGGTGTTGGCATCGATTTGAGACGTGTTACTTGACCACCCTGAGAGTGGAGACTCAACTTGGACTTGGGCCTGAAAGACTTTGACTTGACACCTGTTTAAGATTGCAGTGAATGCCAAAGTTGATCAATTCAATGATGATTCTTTGGACCTCAGTTGTGAAGTGGTGTGCGTTACGTTGAGAGGGGGCGTGGCCTGCAGATGAGACATCATCCGATATATCTCGATATGTTGAACATGTCAAGGCAGGCGGTGTGTGTATCACGGTTCCGGAATGGTCCAGAACAGAATTGGACTCTTAGAAGTTGGAACAAAAATGGTTTATTCATACAAAAAACTCACAAGACTGACAAAGTCGTACAAAGGACGCCAGTTACAAAACAAAAAAAAAAACCCAGGATGATCAGAATAAGACAACTTCTTTGTAATTTTTTATTTTTTTTTTTGCTTGACTGGGTCAAAAGCTCGCTTCTCCTCCAGAGAGAAAGCTAACATTTACCCGGCTTTGCAATCCTGTCACTGTGATTACAGTGACCGATATTGGAAAATGCCAAATGAATCAGGTCCAAAAATGTCAACCATCGATCTACCCGGAGCCAATCAAGCTTTGGATAGTTTATTACCGATGATTGATGAATACGGAGCAGAAAGTCAAAGAAGTGAAGGTTTGTTTTTCAAGAACGCTAAAGCCAAAGTGTCCTCCGATTCTACAATGACCCGTGTGTTGCCATCATTGGCTGGAGTCGATGCGAAACGTTGACCGAGGTCTCCACCTTGGCAGGAAATTCCAAACAATGCGCTGAGGTCCCGCACTGCGGGAAACTGCAAGACAACAAAAGACGACTTCGTTGACCTGCTTTGGAATGACTCGTCGAATGTGGAGACCGCAGGTGGACAAATCAGACAGGGAATTACAAAAGAGGATCGGAAAGAAACAAGCCCTGGGCTCCCGTCTTTCTAAGACCGTGCACGCTGATACCCTCAAACCAGAGTCAACACCTTGTTGAGGAAAAAAACAAAGAAACGGGAAAACTGTATTTCCACACTTGGGAAATCTTCAAAACTCCTTGAGGGTGAAAACATTTGGAAGACCTTTCCACCACAATTGCCTGAAAATGCTCAATGGGCTCATGTCGTCAAACTCACCCACAATATGGACAAAAGACAGGCCTCAAATTTCATCAATCATGAGGGCTGCTCATGTTGTGGCTTCTGCTCGCAAGGATCCTGACCCCAGCGCGAAAGGGGACAGACCGTGTTATGTCATATCGACTAAAATCGCCTGGAAACCAATAACACGCTCTGTGGAGCACCCACCGAGCCGTCAAGTCGGAATGTTACCCAACCAAGAAAATCATTTGTTGATGAGCGCAAGCCGGAGTTACTTTATTACCACTGGAACGGTCCTTTTGGGCCAAAAGCTCCACCCAAGCTTAGCCGTTCACATTTATGGCCATGCGAGCTAGCGGTCCCCACATCTCACATACACACACACACACACACACACACACACACACACAGAGCGCTAAGGGTCATGAGCTGCTCACTTAAAACTGAAGTCAGTGGGACCTTTTTCCTTCAATGAGCCAAATCTGGAGTCACTCTTCATGTCCCCTTGAAGACCAAGAGTTTTTTTTTGTGGCCCGCAAATCTGTCGCATTCAGAAGTCCGTGCGGAGGAAAAGATGAGCAGACAAACATGAAAAAGGGGCAGCCATGAAGGGGACGTCCGCGTCTGGACTTTGGTGAAATCTATGTCACATGGTTGACGGACGTCAACCAGGGTCATCGATCCTGGCGTTGCCTTTGGTTAGCCTTCCTCGGTTTTGGGTGATTTTTATTTATTGTTTTTTTAATCAAAATGCTCTTGATTTAGTGGTCGATCTCCATTCCTGCCCTCACCTATGGTCGTGATCTGTGGGTCGTGACCGAAAGAATGAGAACCCGCATCCGGGCGGCTGAAATGAGTTTCCTTTGTGGAGTGTCCGGGCTCTCCCTTAGAGATAAGGGGGCAAGTTCAGTCATCCGGGAGGGGCTCAGAATCCACCTGCTTCCCCTCCACGTTGCCAGATGAGGTGGCTCGGGCATCTGATTAGGATGCCTCCCCGGTGAAGTGTTCCGGGCACGTCCCACCCAGGACCACCCAAGACAAGCCGGGGAGTCCATGTCTCCCGGCTGGCCTGGGAACACCTTCCCGGGACGAGCTGGAAGAAGTGGCTGGGGAGAAAGAATTCTGGGCTTGCCCCCGCGACCCCAACCTGGAATACGCGCTCGAGAATGGATGGAAGGATGGGCTTTCTTTTGTGACTGCTGCGCTTATCCCGGACAATACACCCCCCCCGCCCCCACCAAAAAAAAAGCCAGAAAGACGGGAGGTGAACCACAGACCGCAATGCAAAGAAAGAGACGTGAAGTCCCCCTAAAAGGGAGAAAATACCCTTGAAGTTGAAATGACTTCCTTGTTCCTGTGCAATCTGTTTTGACGACACGGTGTTGCGAAGCAGGTGAGTTGGCCCCAGGCGAGGCTACCCAAAGTCACATCCTGCACGCCTGATGATATCCTTATTGGGGAAGCCCTGATGTCTCAGACTCAAGTCTAAGAGGTTTATCAGCTCTATCCTCGGAGATTAGACGCCGCTTACTGCAGGGATGAATCCACTTTAAACTGTGCATTTGAAGACAATCTCAATCTGCTTATTAGTCCTCTTGGAAGCAAGGTTTATCATTATTTTTCCAACGGTTCAGTCGTCTTGCTGGGGCCCAAAAAAAGCACCCCTCTTTTTTTTTTTTTGCACGTGGTGGATCCTGTTTGGAAAATATCTAACACGACTGCCCCGAACTGCGCCATGCAGAATTGGAAGAAAAAGACCGGGGATTTTGTTCGTCGGAATAAAAGGTGTATTATTACAAGAATGGAGTGCATGTTGAAATTCACTTGTCAACGTAGGATATTCTTCTCTCGTTTGATGTTGACGTTGATCTCAAAATATTACGGCTTTGCCTTGTAAAAAAAATGTGACTTGATTGAAGACTTTTCATCCCAACAAAAATGCATCTTTATTCCTGTCGGATTTGTGATTCTTTTTCTTCAAACATTCTCATAATATGACTTTTGTTCACTCAAAATGGACAATTTCCAGGGAGGCCTGGGGGTCTCCAAGCGCCTGTCTGCGGACCGGTACCGGGCCTCGGGCCATCTGGTACCCGGCCGCAAAGAGACAGACCTGTGAGCCGTGAGCAAATTTGCCGACGTGGCAGAAATGTGCGTGACTCTTGCCCATTGGAGGCCCTCTTGCAAGTTGAAATCAACAGAAAAGAAACAGAAAGTAATCTTCACAAATTGACCAAACGTCAAGGTCGCCGAACGCGGAGCTGAAGGGCAGCCGTGACTTCTGAAGATGAAGCCATTTGGACAAGAGAAGTTCCTCCCCTCCAGAGCGACGCGGAGGAGGAAGCTGTTGTGCGTGCCGCGTCGTCATTTGAACAAGTAGCACCCAAAGTGATCAAGTGGAAAGCATGAAAAATGCCAGCGGAGTTTGAGCAGCCTGCTCACGTAAACATCAGCACTGTAGCGGCTAATCATTAGCCGGCAGCCAGCGGAAGAACGCGGCGCTCAATCGTGTCACCTTTTGATCAATCACGTTTGCGAGTAGCGATAATGCTAATGTCGAATGTAGGAACAGAACTGCAAAATTACAATGTTTACATGATAAGGCGTAGTTATTATTCCGCAGTGGTCCATTTCTTAGTATTTACTGTGCCATTTTATAATCTTCATCTTTTGTTGTACGATTGAATCAAATTGTTAGAAATGAACGGAAAAATCGGCGTGAACAAAATGGTTAATGGCGCTCTAATTATCTTTGTTGTCAATACCGGTGCTTTAAAACTGTCAATTTTAAAGCAATGAAAAAAAAAAATGGTTGCCGGATTGCGAAGAGCTTGTACTTGTCTCAACCGGTCCGTGACATACAAAAGGTTGGGGGGCGGGAGCGGGGGAACTTCGCCACGTAATGCGGGTGCAGCTTGACGATCATCCTCGCTCGCCACTTTAATTTCCTGCATGAGTCGACACCAGAAGGAGCTGGTGGGGGGGAAAAAAAATTCTCACCCGAGTGCGTAAAGGAATACATCACTTTATTTAAATAAATGCTTTGCCATAACAAAAAAAAAAAAGACAAAGGTTATAAGAGTACATATAAATTACAAGTTGAATAAATATTACACAGTGATATTCGCTTGAATAATTTGACTTTTATTCTTATTTGTCATTCCAACGACCGACCATATCTATCCCCCACCCCTTCCCCTCCGTCCTCGGTTTTTGTTTCGCTACTCCAAATTGACGATAACCAAATGTACTGTGTCGTTACATCCAGAATGCATTAATGTATTCAGGAAAAAAAAAAAAAAACAAACGAAACAACAGTCGTTACTGTACTAGCCCAATATGAAATGTGAGTTAAGAACCAAATCGGGAGATGCAAGGGAAAACGTGAGGAACCGACCACTGACAACCAGCCAATCGCATGCACTTCAACCCGGAACCTCAACTCGTTCAACGGGGCGCCGTCACCCCGTTGGATGCAACATCCAATCTTCCAAACAAATGTCACCCGACGCTGGCTGCAGTCGTGAATTCTCCGCATTTCATTGCCTCCTGTCATGCTGTCTGACTAACGTGTATCTAGTGATATGCAGTCGGAGACCCCGCACGGGGGGGGCCGCGTGGCTAGGCCCTGAATAGGTCTCCCCCCCCCCTGTACAAGGTACCTTCCTATGTCGCTGCCTCTAGAAAAAAAAAAAAAAAAAAGTCAGCAGCCCCACAACCTCTGGAGTGTCATTCCCATCTCTGTGAAAGAGAACACACGTTGCCGTGTCTGATTTCACTTGTCCTGGTTTTGCTGTAGCGGAGGTCCCCGGCGTGGGCGTGCGGAGCCCCTGTCAACAAGTGGTACCCAAAGTCGACCTTGAAAAGGTGAGCACAACGTGACACCACGTGACGTTTGTTTTTTTTTTTTTGTTTTTTTTGTTTTTTTATCCTCCACTGACTTCATCACTATCAATAGTGGCTAAGTGAAATAAGTGCAAGTTGCTTTTATGCAGATTTTTTTTTTTTTTTTTTTTTTTTTAAAGTGGCAGTGGTGGAGATCGGCTCCTGGGAGAGGGGATAGTGCCTGGACATCTCACATATTCACAACTGGAAGCCTTTGTTGTTGTTGTTGTTGTTTTTTTAAATCCCTGTTTGAAGCAGAGGGCAAAGTATTGCTTGACCTCCAAACAAACATCCTCTTCTCTCGAGCAATAATGTACATGAGCATTCACAGCAACAACAACAACAACAAGAAAGAAGAAGCTTCCATGAATCGGAGCCTCTCACTTGCGAAACCATGACAAAATGGCGCTCAAATTGCAATGGGGGCGGGGGTCACGCTTCCAATCGAAGCGGACAAACGGGTCGCTTCCTCTCGTCTGTCCTTGCGAGGGGCTGTCGCCTTTGCCGCGTCAACGTCACTCTTGCTTCACAATTGAAATGTGTTTACGTAAAGGAAGGCACCGAGGGCGATGTATTCACAGACGGAGAGCAACGTGACCATTGCCGTTCCAGGCCGCAGAAGGTTTTCTTCTTTGCGGGCCGTGATTTTTTTGTTTTTTTTTTCCAAGTTTAAAAAAAAAAAAAACCCACACACTCACATATTCAGCTTCTAGAATTCAAAGATGGGTTATGTCAAAGGGGGGCAAAAAAAAAAACCTCGATAAAAGGAACATGGAAAAAAAGTGGGCTCTCAGTTCTTCACCGAAGGCAAATCAAAAAAAGCACAAAACAAAAAGCACACCTACTAGAATTCAAAGATGGGTTACGTCAAAGGGGGGCAAAAAAAAAAAAAACTTCGATAAAAGGAACATGGAAAAAAGTGGGCTCTCAGTTCTTCACCGAATGCAAATCAAAAAAAGCACAAAACAAAAAGCACACCTCACACATGCTACAGAATGACAAGGAACCGCCCGTTTAGGTTTTTGTGGCTATTGAACGCGTACTAGACTCAAAAAGTCAAAAGTGAGTCCTGTCAGACGAACAGCATTTTTTTCCCCCCTCTCCCTTGCCTTTTATTTCACCGTCGGCTTGGCAGCGTCTTTTCAAAATAGGCACAGTTGGCATATCAGGCTAAGCTCAAAAGAGCCACTTGTCCACCGCTAACGATCGGCATCCTTTATACGTTGCCAAACGTTCCACGTCAAACACGAACCTACAACGGAGAGCCATCTCCGAGCAGTACGTTTGAAAAAAAAAAAAAAAAAAAGAATCAAAACGAGAGAAATAAAAGGACATTCTTTTCTTTTTTTCTTTGTTGCTGTCTTGGAATCGTTCAGCAAAGCAGGCCACGACCGAGCCCGCGCTCACACTGTAAACATGCAGGCGTTCAAGCACTTGCTTTGGTGAATTTACAACACGTCAAAGAAGTTTGCTGCTTTTTTTGTAGCAGTGCTTTGACAGAATCGCACCCACACACCTGCTGTCTTGTGTTTCAATCACGCTGATTGACAGCTCTGATGGATCCGCCCATTTGCCCTCACTTAATTTGTCGCAGCCGCTGACATGACATAGGGGATATACCTTTTTTTTTTTTTTTTTTCGCTTTCAATTGTGGCCACAACAAAAAAAAAAAAATGCTCAGTTGTACTCCCAAAATACTGAATTGCGCCCGCAAAAATACAAAAGTGTGGCTTTTAAATCATTCTCGTGAACAACTTTGGACATCTGGCTGAGCAAGCGCAACACACCTGCTGTTAATTTAATGGCCACAGATGAACATTTGGTGGGACCTGGGACACCCAAAAAAAAAAATAATAATCAAGTCAATCCCTCATGACATGTTTGTGGCTTTTTGCACGCAATTTGTGAATAGATTGGCTGCACTGTCCCGACCCCCTGAAAGCCAGCAACCCACCCCCGTCCCGGGTATAAAAAAATATATCCATTCTGTTCATATATTTTCCATGAATGGTCAGCCCGTGTACGTGGCGTGTACAAGGGGCCCCGTGAGCTGCACTCAAGGGATATTTTGGGACTTTCGACCCCCCCCCTCCCGCCCCCATTTGGAGATGAGTGTTTGGTCAACAACAGACAAGATAAAAATGTACAGGTGTTCTTTTCATTTTGCGTCTTTCAAAACGAATTTCAACCCTTCTGATATGTCACGGGTCAAATTGACCCATGTCAAGACCCCGCTTGGCTTACTCAATGCAGTCCATTCATTTCACGTACATGCAATTCACTGATTCGAGATGGAGGTCGGTTTGTTTGTTTTTTTTTTTCATTTCACACGACCCCGGGTCAAATTGACCCAGGAACATTGTCGCTGTTCCTGAGAACGGAACGAATCGGGAAGGTGAATAACTCTTGAGGTGAGCCGGGAGCGTACTGTCCGCGTGTCGCTCAGAGAGGAAATGTGGGCCGTGCGCCTTGCAGAAGTTGGGATTTGGGCTGGGGAGGCGGGCGGGGGGGTGACGTTGGATTGCGGCCCCCGTATTTCTTTTGTCTTTTACTCGTTGTTGTTATTGGTGCTCTCCAGGTCTTTACACTGAATGTCTCCACCGCTGTAATCTGTGCCGGGGAGTTGAACGCCGTACTTGTCCACGCACCAACAGATTCCCCGCTTGCGGCCACGGGACGGCTTGCACTGCGGGCCCAGAAGCAAGATTGGACTCGATTAACCGTACAAAACGTACAAAAAAAAGTGGCGGCCATGCACCCTCAATGACCTCGTACGCACGTCTTCCCTAAGGCGGATCGCTTTGCCCGTGAAAACGGAAAAGTACACCAACTAGAACAGAGGTTCCGAAAAGAATAGGGTCGAGTCCGGCGCGACGCGTCACTACACGAAAGACGAAAACGCACCTGTTTGCGTTTGAAGAATCCTTTTCTGTCACAGTTGGGAAGGTACAAAGAGAGCGCCATGACTCGAGACGTGTCTTTCATTCCCTGAATGATGCCGTCCAGTTTTCTGCGGCAGGGTCCCTGTCGAGATGACGTGGACGAGATTGACAAAGGCGAAGGATGACTCGGCTCTCAGACGGACTCGTGCGATACTCACAAATTCCGGTTCGTGTTTGTCCACGGGCAGCGGCGAGTAGTCCACGGGCGAGCCCATGGAGCGCTGCTTGCCCAGCTTCCTCTTCAGTTCCTTGCGCATGGCGTGCACTTTTTTACTGTTCACAATGTCTTTGGTCAGAAGCGGAACTTTGGCCGGCTGCAGCTCCTCCGTCATCTCTGTGGCCGCGCTGTCCTCGTGAGACTCGCGGTCTAAAAGCAAAGCCCCGACAAGAAAAAAAAAAAAAATTCAATAAATGCTCAGCGACGATCGTATCTTTCGATTCCGACTCGTGGCCGTCACTCGTACAGGAGCGGATCGAGCCCTGCCGCGAAAACGTGCGAGTAAGACATGCCTCGAGGAAACCGGTACGACTCATTGTCCATTTTCTTTTTGGAATAACAGTTCAGAGATCAACATCGGTCAATTTGGCCCTTGGTGTCTGAAACAAAATGCCACGTGATTTGAAAGGCGTTCTGAAAACGCCAACTCCATGGGTGGGGATGTATCGGAAAGCAACATTTCTCCCAGAAATCTGCTGCCCGCGCACACGTTCTGCTCGATCAAGAGAAACGTTTGTTCCAATTGCTCGGGAGACGTCCGTCTCGTTCACGAGTGAAAGGACGCTGCGCAAAGAAGCTGCAAGGCACGTTGTGGTCGGCAGCCTGCATTTGGCCGATACAACAAGAACCCTCCCGGGATGTTGCGGGTCAAATTGTTTGAGAGACCGTTGCCGGTTTGAAAGAGGGTCGTCATTGAACAAGGTTCCTCACGGTGCGTGCACTTTACGGTGGTCCTATATTTTGATGAGCGTGCTGTTGAACAAGACGCCGCAATATTGGACTCTGCAGCATGAGTAAGCATTCATCTCTGATCAGTCACTTTCAAAGGGATCGGCTTGGCAAATTCGATTCAGCTCACTCATATTGGCCGGCCAATTTGCCGAGCACCCTCGAGATTGCCGAAAATGTCGGGATACGATAGTCCTTGATCCCAAGCCGAGCGGCCCCCGGCATCCCCGGTCCTTAGGGCTCAGCTTCTTTAAGCCAGGAGCAGAAGTGCTTTGAGGCCGCAAAAAGACTTCCTCCTCGGGCCCCCCCTCGGCTTAGTTGCACCATAAATTGGTTACTGTGGGGCCTTTGCCAGACCTTGACGAGCTGGAGCGATGATGCCAGCGGATGACCCCGCTTATATTTATCTGACAAGGAATCCCGCCGCGGTGCAAAGGGCCAGACGCACTGAAACCGGACAGGAATGCTGGCTGCGGGCGGATGGAATTACAATTTTACCAGATTTGTTGAGGGGCTACGGGAGTGAGGGGATAGGTCGGTGCACTCTGATTGATCGAGTCGCCCACCGGAAGCCGCAGGCCGCGGTGACCGCGCTGAAAGGCAACATGGACACCGGCCACGAGGAACTGATGTTCAAAGAGCCTGACACAGCTTGAGTGTCTGGAGTCTCTGGCCGAGGAGAGGGGGCTGGCGGCTGGTGGGGGAGGGGGGG